CAAAAAAGTATAAAAAGTTCTTTATTGAGCAACAAACAAGCAAAAATTAAACCAAAGGCATATTCTTGATGCATTTCGGCACGAAAATGAAGACAAAACGCGTTGTGATATGCGGCCAGCTCCATTTCTTTTATTTTGTGGGTTTTCTTTACACAGTCATGTATGGTTTATGAGGTACATCTTCACAGTGTACTGTACAGCTGCTTGTGATATTCAGAATTTGGTTGTGCTTATTTGTTTGTACGTGTTCTGTTACTTCGGAGCCTTCCATCTGCCTATCTCAAGGAGTATCGAGATTTGCCAGAGCTGACAGTGTTTTTCAGTCATCCAATTTTGGTGATTTGGTATCTACTGTAGAATAATTTTCCTCTCCTTAGCTGGCAGAAGAAGAATCAGTGTGGTTGCCTGTTGTTGTAGCCCGTCCTCAAGGTTCACCATGCCGTCCAGTGAAAGATGCCCTTGAGCACACTACTATTGTAAAGGGTCTTTTTTCGAGCAATTGAAGACTTCCAGTCTGGCATTTTTCTGACACCATTTTCTGTAAACTCTAGAGACTGCAGTGTGTGAAAATCCCAAGTCAGCAGTTTCTGAGAATGCTGCATGGCCGGAACCAACACACGTCCCAAGTCATAGTTGCTTGAGCGGAACCATGTCTGCTTGCTATATGTGTTATATTGCAGTCATTTCATTTACGCTGGCCATACATTGCTGACTCCACTGAAATTCAGGCAGTGTGCAGCCCAATTGGCATCCCTCGGTTCGACAAAAGTCAATTTTGTAATCAACTTTTGTTAATGGAGCCAGTAGGATCATTTGCGGTTAAACAGTGACTGCAACCAGTCACAGTTCAAGTATTCTGACAGCGGCACACCCTGGATTATTTCATTTCTTATTATTTAGGCCTTTATTCTTTGTTTACATCTGGTAACCCAATGAGTAAGTCTGTTATCTTTCAATTTCCTTTAACAGGCCAAGCTGTCCAGCAAAAGTGGCAGATAGAAGGTTGACAGTGACAGGGAAGCTCACAGTGGTCAGATTTTATTCATTTAAGTAAAACCTGTATCCCTAACAGTTGCTGTAACTGCCTAAAATGTGTAAAGGTGCCCATACACTGGCTGAATTTCAGCTGGTTTTTAAAGTACTGGCCGAAATTCGCACAGTGTGTGGGGCTGTCAGCTCCCTTTCAGCCGGCATTCCTTGATCAGCTGATCGAAGGAGCCGGCTGGAAAATAATTGTACGATAAGAGCCAATGAGCTGCCCGCTCTGATCGGGTATTCTGACAAGTGCCGGCAATGCAAACAGCAGAGATTCCTCGATCGACGCTCTGTTTGTGTTGATGGAGGAATCACGTCAATTTTTTTCGTTCGGCCCGCGGTTTGAACAAAAAAAAAATTGACAGGTGTATGGCCAGCATTAGCTGGAGTACAGATTTAATTTGTTAGTCAAGGGTGTATAATAATAATTTGAAGGTAGCATACATATAATATTAGTATGTAATAATTGCCAGGGCTTTCTCATCTCTGTACATGGTAAATTATTGTTCTTTGATTCTCATACGACATCCAATTAGGGTCAGTTAATTAGTGCCCCCAATGCCAGCAGATGTTAGTTACATGCAATACTTCCATTATAAAGCTGGCTCTAATTAAACATACAAACACCAAACATGTCCTACTCTGGTATTTCTGCTCAGCAATGAAACAAGCTTTGATAACAGAAAATAACTTATTTGTCCACCTACCCATTTTAATTCTCATACTGCACTCTAATCATGCTAAGTGTTCTCATACTTCATTCTAATTATGATTAATATTATTGCATGCTCCCTAACAGTAGTTTTTTTTTATACTAGGCACTAATTTCGCTACTTTAAAGGTGCTAAGTATTCTTATACTGCACTATAATGACACTAATGATGCTGAGTGTTCTCACACCGAGTACTGGAATCCTGCACTGCAATAATGACAAGTATTCTCAGACTGAATCCTAATGGTGTCCAGGGGTTAAAAACTGCACCCTACTAATGCCGAGTGTTCTCACAGAGCGATCCTAATGGTGGCGTGTGTTCACACTGCACTCTACTAAGGCCGAGTGTTCTCACAGAGCGATTCTAATGGTGGCGTGTGTTTTCACAGCACTCTACTAATGCTGAGTGTTCTCACAGAGCGATTCTAATGGTGGCATGTGTTCACACTGCACTCTACTTATGCTGAGTGTTCTCACAGAGCGATCCTAATGGTGGCGTGTGTTCACACTGCACTCTACTAATGCTGATTGTTCTCACAGAGCGATCCTAATGGTGGCGTGTGTTCACACTGCACTCTACTAATGCTGAGTGTTGTCACAGAGAGTTCTAATGATGGTTTGTATGCACGCTGCACTCTACTAATACCGACTATTCTAAAATTTAATTCTAATGATGACGTGTTCTCACACTGCACTCTAGTAATGCCGACTATTCTCACATTGAATTCTAATGATTCCGTGTTCTTACACTGCACTCAAGTAATGCCAAATATTCTCACATTGAATTCTTATGATGCCGTTTTCTTACACTGCACTCTACTAATGCTGACTATTCTCACATTGATTTCTCACACTGCACTCTAGTAATCCCAACGATTCTCACATTGAATTCTAATGATGCCGTGTCCTCACACTGCACTCTAGTAATGCTGACTATTCTCACATTGAATTCTAATGATGCCATGTTCTCACATTCAATTCCAATGATGGTGTGTATGCACGCTGCAGTCTACTAATGCCGACTATTCTCACATTGAATTCTAATGATGCCGTGTTCTTACACTGCACTCTAGTAATGCCAAATATTCACACAGAGAATTCTAATCATTCCGTGTTCTTACACTGCACTCTAGTAATGACCACTATTCTCACGGTAGACTGTAAGGATGCTGTGTTCCCACACTGCACTCTAGTAAGGCCAGGAGTTCTTGCAGAGGATTCTAATTTTGCGTGTTTTTTACACTGTACTCTACTAATGTTAATAATTATCACAGTTTATTTTAATGTTATTGTCTGCTCACACTGCACTACACTAATGCTACTCATTCTCATAGTGCATTCTCGTAATGTTGTGTTTTCACACTGCCCTTTACTAATTCTGAGTATTCTTACACTGCATTCCATTGATGCTGAATAAAATGGGATTTTCCCCTATAACATTAGCTTGTAGTTCATTTAATCAACCAGCCTGTAGTCATTGCGTTATAAGACAGGGAAGCTTCCCTGAATTTATATATGTTCCCGGAGGTGGTGTGTGTGCTGACTCATCTCTCTGCTGCATATGAGCCAGAGCTAAATGACTGACCTGTATGTCAATTTGGTTAATCATTCTGAAACACTTAGCCCCTTGGAAGAATGGCCAGGGTGAATCACTGCTAAACAAATATTTTATTGGGGAGAAGCTGAGTTTGTATATTGGTATAATAAGATATTACAGGGGTACCTAGACGCTCAGGAGCCAGGTTACTGTAATAAAATGTTACAGGGGTAATAAGACATTCAGGAGCCGGGTTACTGTAATATGATGTTACAGGGGTAATAAGACACTCAGGAGCCGGGTTACTGTAATATGATGTTACAGGGGTAATAAGACACTCAGGAGCCGGGTTACTGTAATATGATGTTACAGGGGTAATAGGACAATAGTAAGGCATTGCGTAACCACACACTATTGACATTAATATTATTATTATTATTAGTAATAGTAGTATTAGAAACCTATGATATGTAAAACAGAGAGGGACATAAAAACTAGGAGGGTTAATTAGACTCCTTGAGATAAGAAGGGGAGTGTGCACAGGTCAGCTCTGTACATTTAACAAATCAAAAGGTAGCAAATAGTTTATTGTTGGGATTGACATACACTTTAACTACCTCCCGGCCAGCCTCTGTGTATACACGGCCTGCCGGGAGCTTCTTGGATGTAACTGGGCGTGTGTAACTGGGTGTGTATACACGCCGCGCGCGAGCGGGAAATCCCCGCTATTTGAAAAGAGGCAGCGATGCCCGTTAATATACAAGCGATCTGCCGGCTATAGAGCCGGCGGATCGCTTGTATGAAGCCCCGAGACGTGCGCCCCCCATCTAAACACCTGGTCTTCAAGCGGTTAATATACCTAGCTGTCAAGCTGATCCCCTTACTTCAATAACTTGACCACTGACCCAGCACAAGCTTGCAGAGAAGGACTTCTGACTGATTTTCCTGATCTGCATACTTGTTTTGGGCCAATGGGCATTTTTAGAAGGGCATCAGCAATGGCAGCTCTTGTATCTACCTCATATCATGTTTTCTTTATTAATGGTCTCAAATGGTCAAAGCAAGTACACTTTACCTTAATCAAACTGCACTTTAAAAATGGAGACAGGTTTAACTGAGGTGAGTGCGGTAAAATAAGACTCCCTCTGAGGAACCAGAAGCCACTCCCTGTGAGCAACTATAAGCTAGTCCCCCTGAGGAACCACAAACCACTCCCAATGAGGAACCACAAGCCACTCCCTCTGAAGAACCACAAGCTACTCCCTCTGAGGAACCACAAGCCACTCCCTGTGAGGAACCACAAGCTACTTCCTCTGAGGAACCGCAAGTCACTCTCTCTGAGGAACCGCAAGGCATTCCCTCTGAGGAACCGCAAGTCACTCTCTAGTAGAAACCACAAGCCATTCCCTCTGAGGAACCACGTCACTCTCTCTGAGGAACCCCAAGCCATGCTGGCAGTTCCTGTCCTTCTGTCGCTGTCTGTGGCCATCAGTTTCAGTCATTGTGTCAGCAAAAGTTATCTTTCTCTGTCAGTATGTGTGTCAATGATGTGGTCCATCTAATATCATTATGATTTAGGCAGGAATTAGATTATCCGGTATATATTATTATCCTTATTGTTATTGGAATCCTTTACATAAGAGTGGGTACATTATTGGAAGCCATGTTGTCATGTAAATATTAAACAATTCAATCTTCTTCCTCTTGTGCTTGCAGTATCATAGCATCTACCGGGCCGGAGTTTGACTTGCGAACCCTTCGAGCAGTGCGTGTCTTAAGACCTCTAAAACTGGTATCGGGAATCCCAAGTATGTAATATGTTTATGATGTTTAAGATATGTGTGCGATGAACCAGCATGTGTATATGTTTACTACATAGGTCTCGTGTATTAAAACTGTTGTAAAACTGTGTTGTTTGTAACAACCCCCCGTAAGAATTGGAAACTTGCTTTCAATGTCCCCACCTCCACCCGAGAAAGGAAAAGTGGAATTTGATTGGTTGCACTAAATTGCCCTCGCTTTCCATTCCTTCAGTTTTTATGCAGGAGGCCTAATTCAGAAGTCACTCTTATATAGCATACGACATTGATGATGCCAAATATAACAATGAGGGTTATTCACAAAGCTGCATTCGGCTCGGCTATTCTGCTCGGTACCTCCGTGGTACCGAGCAGAATGGAAAAAGTAGGAAACAAAATGTTTAGAAATTTAAAAAAATGATCAATTTACAAAAATAAATAAAGATTCCCCCCCCCAAAAAAAATAAAGATTATTGAAAAAAGAAAAAAAATTGAAAAGAAAGAAACAATTGGGCGTAGCTAGCGGTGACAGCTAGCTCCACCCAAATGTTTCCTATTGGCCGGGACCTGCTAGAGTCTTCCAACAGGTCCCGGCCAATGAATAACAACTGGGCGTAGCCGGACGTGACGTCACAGCTGGCTCCGCCAAGTTGTCATTGTTTAATGACAGTTCAACGCCCCCAGATAACCTGGGGATACTGATCTGTCATTGCAACTGGGCGGAGCCAGCCGTGAGTCGGGTTTCACTGGCCGAGCCGAAGCATATGCCTTTGGCTCGGCCAGCTTCGGGAGCTGTATGGGCTATAGTGAATAGCCCGTACAGCAGCCCTTCGGTTCGACTGAACCGAAGGGGTCCGGCGGCCGAAGCTAGCCGAAGGATCAGCCGAAGCTACGGCTGATCCTTTGGCTAGCTTTGTGAATAACCCTCAATGTGTTTTATTGTACATCGGTCACTACTAACTGATGTATGGTGATAATTTCGCTGTGTGCCCTTCACTTTTATAAATGTATGCTAGCAAAAGTGTTGGGGATATGGCAGTCTAAAATATAAGTTATTTTGTTTTATGAAAATGTACACATTGGGGGGAATTTTTCAAAACTGGAGCAGACAAAATCCAGAGAAGTTGCCCATGGCAACCAATCAGCTCCTCTTTTCAGTGTTCTCAGGTAAGATTTGAAAATGAGACAGAGAAGCTGATTGGTTGCAGTGCAAATCTGCTCCAGAATTTGTCTGCTCCTGTTTTGAAACATTCCTCCCATTATGTTTTATGTGACAGAATGCATGATCATGATCATGGCCTGATAATAAATAAAAAGGTACAATGCAAGGAAATATCCCAACAAAATTAAAGGTTGTAAAAGCATTTATTGTGTCTTTTTCTTTGTGTTATTTTTTTTGCATATTTATTGTTGTATTTTGTTCTCAAATGTCACTTTGCTGCTGCGAAATTTCGTCCAAAAAATTTAAGTTTGTCCAAAAAAACGAATCGAAAATTTGGATTCGTTTGCATTAGTTATATCTGTAATTCGGAATTCGGATGATCCGAATCTCCGAAATTTCGTCCGAATTTCGATTCGGAACGAATCGCACATGTCTAGTGGATGGGGAGTTGGTAGACTGTGAGATCAAGGGGGGGAAATTTTGTTTTGGGTAATGAGGTGGTGCAGGAATGGTAGGAGGTAGTGAGAGGGGGGCTTTGGTGTCATGGGTAGTTGGGTGGGGATGATGGTGAGAGGGAGGTCATGATGTTGATAGGCAAAGGTGCCACTGTGTACTTTCAGGTTGGACTGCGCTAGTGCACACAAATTTGGTGCTAATTTTGTATATTGCACATAAGTGATTATATTTAAGTGTATAAAATTTAATAGGAAATGTCTTCCACAAAAGTAATGTCAGCATTGAGATTATTTATTTTGTATAGTTATTTTATTAGGAATTAAGTTGATGTTAGATTGAGAGTTAAGGTTTGGTGTTCTGGTGAGGATTAGGAGTTGAGTTAGGTTTTGAGTTCAATAAGTACAAAAATAAATAACTGCCAGAAAACTAGTGCTGTCCTTGTTGTTATAGTTTGGGGCTAGAAGCCACGCTAAGAGTTATAGGTTAGGACCAAGGTTTAGATCAGTGGTTCTCAAACTGTGTAACCTCAGGACCCACATTTGTCCTCGGTCATTAAGTCGTGACCCAAGTCGCACAGCAATGGATCGCATGGCATTGCGGTACCACGTGCTCTGATGCGGGTAATAGAACTGTGGGTAGGAGATGCGTTTGGGGTGCTATTCAAATGAATGGCAATGCAATGCACCTCTCACACCAGAATGCGTGGTAGTTGCAATTGCATGCTATAGTGCAATATTTGGTCAGGACTGTGCGATTAACGGACTGTATTAGTGTGAATGGGCCCTCAATAACACTGACAGGCACACACAATCTCACACACACATACGTACACACACACTCCCCAAAAAATTATAATTTTTTTTTAAATCCACCCAGTCTCCTTATTTTACAAGAACTGGAGTGGATCCTCAGCCTGGGGTCCATTGTGGGCTGCTGTGCTGTGATAGAGCTCCATGCTTGTACAGCTCCCTTATGTTCCCTGTAGAGGTGACGGGAGCCAGAATGTGATGTCTCTCCAGTTCAGGCATTGCTACAGGACATGTGTGGGAGCTGTAAGCAATGCTGAATGGATTTTCAGCTCCCTCGCAGCCATACTCCCCGACCACCCCACCTCACACTCGGCAACGGGCAGCATATTTTGAATGGCTGCTTGGTGCGAGAACTGACAGTGCTGCGCTAGGGGGAGGATGAGGAGCCTCTCGCCTAGAAAAGTGGAAGGCATGGGGACCCAATGAACTCGGGGTCGTGACCCACCTTTGAGAACCAAGGGTTAAGGGTAAAAGTCTAACTTTAGGGTTTTTGGATGAGGTTTGGGATTGGTGTTCAGTTGAAGTTTAGGCTTAGTGGCTGAGGGTTGAGGTTAGAGCTAGGGTACAGTTGAAGTTTAATGAATAAGCCAAGATTTAGCTGCAGGGTTAGTGGTTGCATGGATATTAATGACTGAACCTAGTGGTTAGGTTAAAGGTAAGGTTTATGCAGTGGTGTCCCTAGGTTAGAAATTATGGATTAGATTTTGAGGTTGGGCTGATGATTATGGTTGGTGTTGGTGGTTTTAGGTTGGGGGTTATGGATTATGTTATAGTTTAAGGCTCTGGTTGAGTTGAGTGTTATCGGATAGAGCTATGGTTTAGGTGATGATTTAGGGCTAAGAGCCTAATATTAGATATATGGTTTCGGCTGAGTTTTAAGTTTGGGGTTAGGTTGAGATTTAAGGTTAGGAAACTTCAAGGTTTTCTGGTATGATTATCAGCACAATGAGACATATGTGCTCTAAGCCTCAGTACCAAATGCACATAGATGAAGAAAGCATAGTGTGCAGTTTAATTAGAGCTGTAGACTAACTCCTTGCTGTCTGAAAGACCACCCACCAGAGTGTACATTTCACATCATTTGATACAAAGGTGTTGAAATAGCAAACCGGTCAAAGAGGTGTAATTACGCTTTAAGAAATTTTTTTATTGTCACTTATAACTGCATTCAGCGTAGCAGATGGCTTGTGAATTTCCGTGTATCCCCCGTAATAGTAGCCAGGAAATGTGAGTAATGCCGCAGTGGTCCAGACCCCTCCCCCACACAGGTGAAATATTGCCAGACCTCCACTGACCAGGCCATTCCTGTCACTGATGCAGAACCTGGAATCCAAGAAATGTGTCACTGGGGGGACGTTTGCCAGATGACCATATTGAGTCACCGTTGATAAATTAGACACATTATTGTTAACAGGAAATGTAACCCTTATAACCCCTCGGAGCAGTAAGATAGAGGCTTGGCAGGTATTGACGGATATATTTTCAGTTATTGATTGCTGTCTCACTGCGATGGAGCCCCCTCGTGTTATTACGGTGTGTGCCTGTGGGATGCCGGCTGTAGAGGGCTTGATTTGCCAGCTGATACAAATGGAGGAATATGCAGTAGGCCTAATGCATGAAAGAGACAGATGGAAAAACTGTCTCTGGCAAATGATAGCGAACAGTCCGATTTCAATCTGCATTGGAAAACGACAGTAGAAGAATGAACAGTTGAACCCTGCTTGTATGATCTGTCTGGGACCTGGGATCATTATCCCCTCATAACCTATCATACAACAGGCTTTAGGTGCAATAAACAAAGCTATAAATACCCTTATCTGTTATAACCAGTGTTATTTTCAGTAACAGTTGAATATAATGACCATTGTGGTAAGTAATGCATGCTTCACAGCTTAGTGAACTGAGCCTTCTTATGTCAGGCTCAATTCACAAAGCTAAAACACCAGATTAAGGACCCTTAAAAAGTGGGTTATTTTCAACTGAGATCGGAAAAAATACAGCCGCATGCCTGAAATAAAGACCCAGATACTCTCTCCTTTAGGCTAGATTCAGACCTGCGCCACACCCAGAACTGCGCGATCGTGTGCTAGTGCACACAGCGGTTGCTGCCTGGCCCTATTGATTTCAGTGGGGTTACATCCGCGTGGCACTCGCTAAAAAGTACCTTTTTTCCGACACACAACGCCTGCCTTTTTTTTAGCCGCGATCCTGTTCAATTGCACGGGCGGAATCGCGGCAGAAATCTGCGCGATCAGCCCGCCGCGACTGGGGTGCCATTATAAAATAATGGCACCGCCAGCCCGATCGGCTGCGGTGGGCGGCTCCGTGACCATGCAGCAATATTGCCGCGCGCCCAGGTGTGATCCTAGCCTAAATCCTATGCTTCTTAAAGTGTATGCCCGGCCAAAACTTTTTTTTAATAGTTTTTGATAGAGTAGGTAAGACAAGAGAAGGGCTGACAAAACTGTGCATTAGCGTTTCCAGCTCACTAGAAGAAGTTACAAACAGACGTGATTTTCTGGCAGATTAGCAGGTATCTTTCTGCACTTGCAGGGGAACAAAACTTGGGGAAATGTAAGAGGCGTCCAGAGGTGGGGTGACACCCGGTGCGGGTACCGGGTGACACAAAGAAGTGACGTCATTGCGCATGCGCGTGATGACTTCACACGCTGTACCGCTGTTACCTGCCGGCGGTCAACTTGGTGATGGACGCCGGCAGAGAGGGGAGGGAACGTCACCCGGCAGGATGAGGTATGCCGCCTGGTCCCCTCCTCCCTCTCTCTCTCGAGCAACTGTCGGGCTCTCGGTCCTTGACCGAGTGCCCGACTTTTCAGAGGGAGTGACACCAAAAGGACTGTCAGTCATTTTGGTGTCACCCCTCCAATGGTGTCACCCGGGTGCGGGCCGCACCCCCCTTGTGACGCCACTGGGAAATGTAATGGGGTTTTTTTGTTAAATATATTTACATACACTTTAGGGTATTGTCAGGCCAGTCACAGTCCTGGAGTTCCAATGATGTCTGCACTGTCTCCTGTCGGTGGATCCATAAAATGGATGGTCGTCTATCTGATGGTCCTGCTGTCCTTTTACTTTTTCAGGGGGCAAAAGGGGATTTTTATTTGACTTATGTGGTTAGGAATGAGTGATGATGTTTATATATTTTCATGCCTTTGTTCTTTGCAGGTTTACAAGTGGTTCTGAAGTCCATCATGAAAGCCATGATTCCCCTGCTCCAGATTGGGCTGCTGCTGTTCTTTGCTATTCTCATCTTTGCTATCATTGGGCTTGACTTTTATATTGGAAAATTTCACAGTTCCTGTTATGAAACCTACGGAGGTGAGAAGGCTTTGTCTTCCTTTTTTATTATATATTATTATTATTAAACTCTCAAACTTGTTTTCAATAATGAATCCAGATCAAACAAATATACTTTGCCCAGCAAAGCATTACTTTACAGTTTTGCCCAAACGCTTACAATTATCATGTTTCTGAACAGCTGCTTCCAAGTCTCTTAGCTCAGATTCCCTGAACTTCCTGTCCAGTACAAGATCACAAAGGACAGAGCAGAATCCAGAAACTGTTCTTCTACTAGCTTGGATAAGGGTGGAGAGCGGGCCAGGGGGAAGGAGTAGCTTGATTTGCTGTGTCTGTATGCTTGTGGAGACCAAACAGCTTACTAGCACACACAAAGGTGACTGCATAGCACTCTGCTTGAGAAAGGAGTCACTCTAATACAGGAAGTCAGGACCAGTGCTCAGGGGACCAGCTGATTCTGCAGGAAACTAAGAGGGTTATTCACAAAAGGGGTGAAGAGTTTGGAGAAGGCAGGAGAAGGGAACAATCTAGGACAATATAACTGAACTGGAAAGTGAGCTGAATTTGAGAATTATTCCAAATCAGCTATGTTGACCTAGATTGCTCACTTCTCCTGCCTCCTCCAAACTCTTCACCCTTTTGTGAATAACCCTGTAAAACTTTTAAACATCAAGGAGTAGCATCCATTGTAAGTGATTTTTCAGCATTTGTGAAATAGCTTTAAATGCTTTTGACTTTAATATCTCACATACAGCCTCCTTCAAGAAGTGTACTTGCTACCTAAAACAACAAACACAAAGCAGCGGCCTGCTTTAAATGGTTGCTTTGGTGGAGTCTGACCTATTCCAGGCTCTTAGCTGTGATGCATAGTAAACTGCTGCCATTAGGTAGTTGCCACTGATCACAGGTCCTAGAAATCCATGCAGCATGTCATATCCACTTACCTTAGTTGCAGAGGTTCAGTCAATTGATGAAGTGATGAGGGGGGGCATTTCTGATTTTCAGCTGCTTACTATGGGAATAACAAGGCATCTTTTTTTAGACCTAATTGCCTTATAACTGTATTGTATTTTTCATGGTCTCTATCATGTAGCTCTCTGTTTTATTGACCTTCCAAATGAACATGAGTTCTGAAGTTCTTCCACTATGTCTTTCTGCAGATGAAATGAAGGTGGAGGGCCTGTGTGGGAATGACTCATCATCGCGAAGGTGCCCCAATGGGACCTCATGCTATGACAGGTGGGAGGGACCCAATAATGGCATCACACAGTTTGACAACATCCTGTTTGCAGTACTCACTGTATTTCAATGTATCACTATGGAGGGCTGGACAGATATTTTATACCATGTAAGTACAAGTACAATTTACACTCAGTGAACTGCAACTATACAACCCTACAGATCCAGGGATGTAAGAGACTACATATGAGGGGGTATCAAAAAGTAGCTCCTGTTGATATATAGAAATGAAACATACAGACAGTTAGTCTATAAATTGCTCTACTAAGAGTTACCCTTTTGCATAGTCTCCATTATATTCAATGCATTTGCACCATCGTTTTACTCAGGCCTCAAATCCCGTTTAGAAGATTTTGACAGCGCACGCTTTGCTCCATGCTTCAGAGTTGTTTTAACTTTCTGCAAGTCCTCAAATCTCATGGTATGGATGTAATCCTTTATTGGCCCAACAGATAGATGCCATTGTTGCCAAATCTGGGCTGTGGGGTGGATGAGGGACCAATGACCAGCCCATATTGGCAATCATCTGACCGGTGGCATAAGAGGTGTGTGGGTGTGCAATATCATGATGCAGACGTATGGCATGGATGTCTTTCTGTGCTTGTTTCTTCCTGATTACTTCTTTCAGCTTTCGAAGTGTACCATTGTAGGCTTCAATGTTGACTGTTGCACCTTTTTCCAAAAAGTCCATGAGAATGATGCTTTGGTCATCCCAGAACACGGTTGTCATGATCTGGCATATTTTTTTCCCATTCAAGGAAAGCTTGAATCATGCCATTCAATGCCTTGTCAACATTTTCAGTTTCTCCCTTTTTACTTAACACCTAACATTGCTCACGTCAATTACTGCATCACCTTGCACATTTTTCAGGAGTGTACGACAGTTCAACAACCCTCTTTCGTCAGAAACGTAATTACTGCTCTTTGTTTCAACCTCTCATCCATGATGCACTTGATACAATTTAAAAACCAGAAGCGCACAATGATTGATTTATATCCTATGTATGATATATAGCAGGCATTTTATTATGAGTTCACATGAACAGCAGATATGAAGCAGCAGGTATTACTTTTTGATACCCCCTTGCACATTTAAGAATGACATAAATAAAATGATCTGGGCCCGATTCTACAAACTGGAGGAAAGAAAAGTCACCACATAAGTGGAACGTTTCCCCGTAGCAACCATTTGGGTTCCATGTTTAATTTTAAATACAAAAAATAAATTTTTTACCAATGGCTTTTGGGGAGAGCGTTCTTTTTCGTCAAAGTTGTAATGAATAGGCCCCTAGTATATGCAGAGGATCAGCTTAATGTGTTTTAACATATAAAACATTTGACAGCAACAGTTGTGTTGTATATTACATAGTATAGTGCTGGATGGTTGGGAAAACCATAGAGCTGAAATCTCAAGGTTATACTCTCTTCAGAAATTATGCATTTTGAAGCTTAAACTGTAAGTGAACTTTCTAAATGCACAGCACCTCCCACTTGACATGCCAACTTCACCCTAGGTATACAACATATGACATCAATATGATCTGAGAATGTTTGCAGACGTTGATTCCTGACTACTCTGCAGGCTGTACACTTAAGTGTGATGATGCCATAGATGCTTCCATAGAGCTTAATGGTTGCAAATAGGTCAACAGAGAGGGCAAAACTAAAATTGTCTCAAAGGATCCAATGGACTTTAAAAAACCACACCTTCTAAATGAAGAAAAGTTGCTTCATCTAAGCAACTAAATAAGTAAAATTTCACTAATCCACAAAAAATGAAAGAAAATAACAAGGTTAGGGCTTCTACATGTGAAGTTCTGGTGCACAGCCCATTCCTCTTCTAAAGGGTGAGGGACCTTGCTCTAGAAAGCAGTAAGAAAGAACTGATGCTGCTCCAGTAAAGTCTGGAAGAATCTTCAGGCACCAGAGTTGTAGCAAATGTTTCTTCAAGTTTTTAATAATGATAAAGTTGGAAAAAGAGAGAAACGCATGACATCTTCCATGCTGCCCCCGATCCCCTCAAATAAGTAAATATCTGTTTAAACACATATTACAACTTCGTAGGTGTCGCCATTTGGATTGTTAACAGTTGGATTTCTTGCCTCACAAAGAAAAAAAACCACATGATATTTCAAGTGCTATACATCCTCCAAGAATCCTTATGTTCACACCCTGTCCGGACCAGATCTGGAGCAGATCTGCAAACGCAGTGCAGTGTATTTTTGCAGAGTTTTTGCCGCTTTAAAGTGCGTTATGGTACTTTTTTTTTAGTTTAAAATGGGCTTTCAGGTGCAGTCCATTGGTTTACATGCCTATTTGATGTGTTTACAATCGTTTCAGTGTGTTCCGGACCAGAGAAAATGAAACAAACAGTATTTTTTTGTTTTTCTGGACCGGAACATACTGCACTGGTATGAACAGAGCCCAGAAATACCATAGGCATATTTTTGGTCTGGAAACAAACTGTTCTGGTCTGGACATGGTGTGGACAAGCCCTCAAAGTACCAGCTCGAGTCACGAATAGGGTTGCCACCTTTTCTTCAAGCGAAACCCGAACACTCCAGCGACGCATGGTAATTTTTGTGGGAGAATGAGTGGTGGCTTGTTCATATGTAAATAGTGCCACCCATTCATATGTAAATATCACAGTAGAGACTATTTACAGTGGAGGGCCAGTAGCCCCTATCTTAATTTTGGTTGCCCCTGTCTGCCTGACATCTTGTGTCTGGGTTTCTGCTGCCATGAAACCCGAACACAGCATTCAAAACCCGAACTGTCCGGGTGAATTCTGGACAGGTGGCAACACTAGTCACGAATCAAGGGAATTTGAAAAAGTCAAACTCACTCCAGCATATTATAAGTCTGGATAAACTATAACTAACTATAACTATTTATAACTATAATATATGATATATTTTCTAAACAGGATGAAATTTATCCTGTTTAGAAAATACATCATATGTCATATAACTAAAGTTGAGCTGGCCATACACTGTTCTATTTTCTTTTTTTTCGTTCAACCACGAGCAGATTTCTCCATCAACGATATGAACGATTTGATTGAGGAATCCCCGCTGTTCTTTTGTATCCTGACAGCAAACGCTGGCTCTATTTGTACAAAGATTTTCCGACAGGCTCCTTCGATCAGCTGATCGAGGGATGCCAGCCGGTAGGGTGTCAACAGCGACACCCACTGTGCGAATTTTCGCCGGTTTCTCATGAACGGGCTGAAATTCGCAGTGTATGGCCACCTTTAGGAAGTATTCACCCAATCTTCCTTATCCAACTCAGATATATCTTCTTTCCGCAAACAGAATAGGGATGTCTTTGAAGTAATTATTAGACAAGTATAGACTGTGGAGAGTTATAAGGAGTGATTCCAATCATCATATTCCAATAACATCTGAGCTCCAGGAACTGGGAATTTGTAGCATGCCAATGCTGAAGATACTGTATCTAAAGAGCATTTGCATACCAATTAAATTATAGTCTTACCTCCTGAGTTTGCCCACAGCTAGGGGTCTAGTATGAATTGAAAGTGTAAACGCCTAGTGATGCCCCATGGGGTGGTGAATATTGAACATTGGTGGGTTACAATAATAATCACTCTATCCCTGACCAGTTCTTCAAGGGTATCCTTATCAAGGAGGTTATTAAAGAGCTACATTTTGGCCCTCAAAAAACAAGATTATTAGGGGCCAACTAAGAACTTAGAACTGCAGTGTCTAAGGTAAAAGCAGGGTAATATGCATTCTGGGTGAACCACCATCTAACGGTAACAATCACAAAGGCCCAGAGGTATAATTGAAATGTAGGCATTGTTATAGCTTATCTGTATGCTGTTGAAGCTTACCTAATGAAATGTGTGGGACCTTACCTGTCCATAAAAGGGAAAATATGATCTTATCTAGGGGTTTATAGAAATTGAGTGCAATCCAGACTAAAGAGTGGCAAAAGAGGTTGAAAAATCTAAAAAAGTGAGTTTTAATAAAATAGGGAGCAAGCCACATGTGCTACATTTCTGTGTTACAGAGACACCCAGTAATAGTAGCCATAAGGTGACATGTCTGTCTGTCTATCTGTAGCAGGTGTTGTTGCTATCAACATCTAATCTTTTATTCATAAGAAATCCCTTAACCCAATTATCCACTTATAGTCCACCTCCCTACACCAAAATGTCCACTCATAGCCTCTCCCTACACCACCTCTCCAATTATAGGTCCTCCCTACACCTAATAAAAGGCCCTCCCTACACCCAGCTCTCCAATTATAGGTCCTTCCTATATCTAACTTTCCATTCATAAGCCCTCCCTACACCCAGCTGTCCATTCATAGGCCCTCCTGACAATTAACTCTCCACTCATAGGCCCTCTCTACACTCAGCTCTCCGATTATAGGTCCTTCCTATACCTAACTTTGCATTCATAGGCCCTCTCTACACCCAACTCTCCATTCATAAGCCCTCCCTATACCTAATACTCCATTCACAGTTCCTCCCTACACCCAACTCTCCATTCATCAGTCCTTACTACATCCAACTCTCCATTAATTGTTAAGTTTAAATACTGCTTAACTTCTCTGTGTGTTCCATACTGTTTACATACAAACATGGGTTATAGGAATCTTATAACTGCAGTCTCAATTGTGCCACTAAGAGACACCATACTTGTTGTCAGCAGTCATATGCAAAACAAGCAGTGCCAAAAGTAAACCTTTTATGCCATTGCTCATTTCCCATAACTTCCAGTTGCCTATCTGTTGATCCACTGGTTTCAACACGTTCGGAGTCACAGTTCTGGCAAAGGTTTTGCAGATCCATAAATTGAGAAGTGCTTAATTGCTTACTTGACTTCAGGTCATTGAAGCAGCAACATCAGTGTGATAGATAGGCAGCTGGTATTTTCAGAAAGAAAGTTCAATCACTGGCAGCCTCCATATTTACTCCCTTTAAAACTGAAGTTTAATCTTTTTATCTTTTGCCTTCCCTGGTTATTCCCTCTCCTTGATCAACATGCTAATGAAATTTAGTAATAAAACCTTTCTGTTCATTACATATCTTATTTCAGACTACGTGACATCATCACTGGGTATCTATGCAATACAGGCAGA